TATCTATAACTCTAATTATATTAGTTCTACTAAAAGATTCTAAAAGTATTTATATTCAAAAACTCTTTCTAACAATTACTTGAACTATATTTTTCAAAAAAACATTTTATTGCAAGAAGAGACCTTATAAGCTGGCACTTGACATACTAGATAATAAGATAGCACTTGTCATTTAGAAGTAGTTCTTATTTGCTATTTGCCAACAGGCTCAGAGTTTATCACTTACTGCATAGTCTTGGTACTTATTATTTAGAGGTAGTTCTCATACACTACCTGCCAATAAGTCTAGAGTTTATTACTTACTGAAAAAATATTAAATAGGTATTGGGTAGTGGGTCTTAACTATAGAAAAGAAAACTCACACTCCTTCAAAGTAGTTTGAAGCTCAAGTGGTTTCTCTTTACCTCTTGTTATTTGTTCATCTGTCTTCAAAATTTTTCATAAAAAGTGAGGATTTAGCTTATTCCCTCCAAAAGATTGGCATTGTTTATTTACCAAATCTGGATAAACCAGTAGATAGCAACCATGTGTTTGGAAATGAATATGTTACATGAGCTCTAGAACAAGTTCTGGTTAAAAAAGAAATCCCTAGTAGTGGCAGCAAGTGACTTGAGACATGAGTACCAAAGTGACAGTGCCTTTATGAAAATATCATGATCTTGTTGTTATTGGCACCAGTGTTGTACACAGACGTTGTCCTATTAAAATTTCAGGGACGCAAATAGTCCTGGACAATGTCCCATATCCCGGACAATGTCCCATGTCCTGAACAATGTCCTATGTCCATGATGGTATCCTATATTACAAAGGTTTTAAAGTGACCTTATTGGCTAAAAAGGATGCTCTTATTATAATTTTTAATTGTCCAGGATATTTACATTTTAGCAGACATATTCAGGACATCCTGTTCCAGACTGTACATTGTCTGTGTCCCTGTCACATGACAATACTGATTGGCACTATATATGAAGAGTCAAATCCTAGTATAGCAACAGCACTTAGCTTGAGATACAGACTAGGTTATTAAAAAGATTCAAAAATGGGTCAGAGAGAATTTTAAAGTTAAGTTAGTCTTATAATAGAGATATACAGATGTTGCATCTAGTATATAATTTTTAAATTACCTAGCACAGGTTATAATAATATGTTGAATCGCTTAATTTTTTCTTTTTTTCTGCTTGTTTCATCTATTTTAATTTATATTAGAATTGGTTTAGGTTTTTTTTTCTTTTTTTTTTGTTGTTTTATTTTTTTTTTTGAGTTTTATTTTTTTTTTTTTAGAACAATTTTTATTTTTTTAGTTATAAAAGAGCCTTTAGGGATTTTCTTTAAATTTATCTTTTTTCATAATTTTGGTATATATGTTAGTCTTGTATAGAAGTAGGAGGTAATATAATCTGCTGGGATCTAAGTGGATTAAGTTTGGAAGAAGGTATTACCAAAATTTTAGGTAAAATAAGTTTGAAAGGAGGGATTGGCTCTTAAAAGAAGTCTTCTTTTGTAAATTGACATATATATTTGCACTATGCAGAAGTAGGAGAAAATATATTCTGCTCGAATGTTGGTGGAATAAGTCTAAAAGGAAGGCAAGATGTAATCAGTTCAAATATAAGTAGCTAAGTACCAAGCTATAGCAGGTTTTTAAATACAGATAACACCATACATGAAGCTTGTTGGCAATATTAGTGTAATAACCATACTTGGGCACTTTTATAGCAGCCAGGTATTTGCCTAATACGTAAATTAGATAGTTAATTTTGTAAATTACAAAAATTCTAATAAATTAGTGTGAGGTTATCAAAGTGAAAAAAAAGAAAATATTTATATAGTACAGTATATACTAGTGTTATATACAGTACCGGACAGTAAAAGACATCTACTCTTTATTAATAAAACTTTAAATTGTTATAACTTTTTTAAAAAAAATTAAATCAAAAAACCCTTTGACAAATTTATAGATTTTTAGCTAAACTACATTTCTGTTAGAGAATTGTTTTTTATTCTTTGTTTTAAAAAAGTTATAAAGGATTGAAGTTTATATAAGTTCAAAAAATTGGCATTTAATATAGAAAAAAGAAAACATATATAGATTTTTAACCAATCAAAATCAATTACTCAAAAATTAGCCAATCAGAATTGATTATGTAAGCACCAAAAATTGGTGCCTATATATATAGATTGGATGTCTTTTACTGTCTCGTACTGTAGTAATTTGGTTTTTTAGAGTTGGGATCCCATGGCCTAGTAGTCTAAGTACCCAACCCTCCATAAGTGGGTTTCGGGTTCAAGTCCTAGTAGGTACTTATCTATGAATATTTGGAAGTATTTGCCATGGGAAGTCCAAGTGAATACAAGTCTGGATTAGGAATTTCCAGAAGAAGGTCCATTGTGGAGTAGTTGGCACTATATATAATAGTGGTTGTTACAGAAGGTTCTATTATACAAAGGTTGTATGTGTAAATCCGTGATTGGCAAAGTAGCACCAACAACCCCTAAGGTGGCATTGGGGACCTTGTTTGAGAGGATGACTGGGCAGTAACCAGAATTGGAAAGTGGTGAGAAATGTAGTGAACACAAAGAGACCTGTGGTAAAGAATTGGCCTTACCAGATTTGAAACATCTCTGACATATATGGAACTTACTAGCTAATAAGAAGTTGAAGCATGGAGGCGTGTATGTGTTAATAAACCTAACAGGCTCTGGTTATACTTGTATGGGAGCTTTGATATCAAGAGGACTCAGGACCACCAATATAGATATAGCTAGTATAAGTATATACAGTGGTAACTGGAGGCTACAACTGCCAAAAATCACTATAAAAAAACGATGACACACCTGTTACCTCTAAGCCTCATGATGCTATCCAACTATACTGACCACTGGAAGTATTTGCGAAACATGCCTGAGCAGCCTCATCACCATATTGGAAAGTATAGTCATTAGCACAGACCTAATTGGATATGTTAAGACCTGGGTCCTGAAAGTCGCAGAAAACTAGCTAGTTATGGCAGCATGCAGGCTTGAGATACTTACCTGTTTGGGTAGAGGCAGCTACATGGCTTGAGATACAAATTCCTGGAAGTACACTAGGTAGGGATTGAGGGAGAAAATTCCTCTGACAGGCACACCAAACTGGAAGCAATAAGCACCTACCTGGTACACACCAATTTGGAAGTTGAAGATAAATGGTTTGTGGGTAATGTGGCAGACATGTGAATACTGATTGGCAGTTGGGAAGGGATGTATAAATCCAGATCAGCTGTTTAGTGGGGATATGGTCAGCTCTGGTGGGTTTTAGCCATGAATAAATGGTTTGTATACCTGATGTCCTAGTCTTAGTACTTGATGTAATATGTATATATATCGGCACCATCATATGTCAATCATTTAATATTAAATAAAGTCTAAGTGCGGGTGCTACACCCTTATAATTATTAAAAAAAAAAAAAGTAATTTGGTTTTTTTGTAAATATATATTTTTTAACATTTTTTTTTTTTTTTGCTTTTATTCTATTGCTTATTTTTATGTATTAAAAGCAATAACACTACCAATATCAAAGTATTAATAATATTAATTTATTCCTTTAACACTAAAAAAAAATATTATTAATTTATTAATATTATAATATATACTTTACTATATATATCTGATATATATACAATATATAATATTTTATTGTCGATAGTTATTTAGGTGTCAAATTTTGAACGGATCGATAAACGGTCCCAAATTTTAAATTCATCCAGATTATCAAATATAGATAAAATAAGTAATTTGCGTTAAGTGACTACATATAGTTTTGATTTAATTCATTCCAACATAACGTGCTTCATTTAAGCAAAAAAATGCATTACTTTTTTTTTTTTTGCAAGAATTAGATCTTGGGGTAAATCTTTTTTTTCGATTGTTCGTTTTTTTTTCCTTTTTTTTCAGAATCGCCTAATTGTGTTAACGTTAGGAATCTTATGGTTGAAAACCAACTCATTTAGAATTTGGTTCATCTCAAAGTTAAATGAGTTGTCGAATATCACACTCAACAGCCTGGCTTTGCCTTCATTATTGAAGAATTAGAGGTAAGCTAAAGGATTTGTCTATTTCTAAGTTTATTATTCTTCAGTGTCATGTTTCCGAAGATTATGAAATTTAAATCGAGCGGAAATTCAATATTAACTTAGTACGGTAGGCGTTATTTTCTATAGTTTTAGTACAGTATATCTATGTGATCGATTTTTACACAATATCATCGTTTATGTGAATATCGAAGGAGCATTATAAAATGCTACGTCCAGGCCAAGAGCCAATATCTGAATCTGCCGTTGAATTAAATATGATGAAAACAAAAAAAAAGAAAAATTCAAAAATCAGTGCTTCGATGTTGTTTTTTGAATATTAACATGAAAGCGGGTTGTCGCTATTGATGTCTGCGTTTAGATTTAATAGTGTTGTCAACTGATAACTTTTATATAATTTCAAAATAAGATGTGCATTATATAATTAACACGAAATTTCGAAGTGCTAGTAATGTTCACTGGTTCAAAAAATTACAAATTGATTTTGCAGATCTGCAAGTAATAGTATGAGCTTAATTCATATTGATATCGTCTAATGATAATTGCACAAAATTTCATCTAAACTGGAACAACCCTGATCCTCGTTAAACACTCGGCTGTTTGAATAAAAATTGATAACTTTAACGCGTATACGCGATCTTTGCTACATTTTTAAAAAGTGGAGCAGAATTAGTAAACAATTTTTAATACGACGCAGTACGACGCCTTATTTCTGTAGTAAGTTTATTCGGTATACCAACCTGTAATTCGGTTTAATGCACTTTAACGACTACACATCATAACAATCATCAAGACACTTGTTCGAATTGCTTTTCTTAATACGTTAGCAATACTTTATGAACTTTGTCTTTATAGAATTTCTAATTATTTCTTCGCTCTTTTTTTTTGTTTTTGCTTTTTTTTTTTCTTTTTTTTAGCTTCGAGCAAAAATGGGGGAGCAGACAGGTTTAAGCTCCACACCAGCAACAAGCCAGGTGCAGCCAGATCCAAAAAACATGCCGGAAACGGCTTTTGTAATTGCATTTTGTGTTAAGTTCATGGAAGCCCTTAATAAAATTTATTTCTGGCCAGAGGTGAGTCAATCCTTTACAATTTTTATTTTTATTTTTTATTTTGTGACTGGTGTTGGAATAGTGACTTAAGTGAAACTTTCCTTTTTAATAAATAGGAGCTAGATGAAGCATTAAGCAGTAATGAAGAAAGTTTATTGCTTGAAAAATTACATCGTCTTTTTATGAGAAACTTGTTAAATTTAAAAGCCTTACCCGAGTAAGTGTGAGAATTATTATGCATAATTATGATTTATATCATAAAGGAAAATTTTTTTATTATTGCATTTATTCACGTTTATTCACATTGTTCTAATCGTCAACTACCCTAATTACCATAGAAAGAGACATTGGATGAAAAAGTTGTCTGATATTATATCAGACAAGATCGAAAATCAAGAAGATTTTTATCTTGATCACAACCCTTTGAAACGCGTAAATGACAATTATTATGCACTTGGTGTCCGTGACAAGGTAGATATTAACTTTTATACCAATTGATCGCATAATTATGTAATACCTTTCATCTTTCCTTCTAAATGCTTTTATTTTAGGTAATGATTCTGCAATACCTCGTCAGTTGGCAACTGGTGGGCTCTAATAAAATAAGAGAGCTTATACAAGAACAACACAAAGGAGTATCGGAAGAGGAAATTAAACCACTGGAAGTAGAAGTCCTTGGTGAAGACACTAAAGAGTCAAAGTATTATTATCTTGGTAGTAAGTAAGCTGTATTAATGATCATTATATATTCCTTTTTCATCATTCTTTACCTATTATATATTGTGTTTTTTTTTTTTTTAGTTGGTGCTAGAATTTATCGTGAAACGCTGGTCCACGAATCCGAAAACTCGTCTTTGCCACATATAAAATGGGAAGCCATATCAACTACTATTGATGATCTCAAAAATTTTGCGTCTGATCGTGATGAAATAGATCCAAGTAGGTCTGAAAAAGAGAAATTATTGTATACGAAAATAGTTAATCAGGTTATTCCCTATCTTGAAGAAGTAGCAAAGGTAAATTGCATATGAATCACTTTTTATTATAGAACTTTTATATTCAATGACTTTTTTTTTGCAAATAATATACTAATTATTATTATTGCGATAGGACAAAGACCGAGAGATGGAAGAGAAAAAGCGGAAAGCTTCAGAACGACAAGCACAAAAAGAAGTTGAAAGGATTAGACAGCTTAAAATCATTGAGCAAATGCACAATAATGTAGAGATTTTACCTACAAGGACGCGTGTTCGAAAACCACAAGCTACTCCTACTACTGTTACAAATATTTCAAACATTGAAGTTCATGATAGTCAATCCATCGTTAATGCAGCTAAAGATATCTCAAATACACTTAATTCAGAAATTAGTGATAACATGAATTCATTGAATAAAAAAGATGGTGAGGATGTATCAAATACACCTGCTAAAGAAAGTAATCATGATACATTGGATACATATAACAATGATAGCATGGACACTCCGAGCGCAAATAATAATAAGAATGACAAAATTATTTTGAGTAAACCTAGGAAAAACAATAAAGATAAGACTAGTAAGCCTAAGAAAAGTAGTAAAGGTGGCTCTGATGAAGCTAAAAAAGGGAGCAATGTCCGCAAACATTCTAAGTTGGCTAAAAAACCTGCTCCAATTGATACAACAATAATCGAAAATATACCCACAGCTTATGCTAATCATAGCGTAAGTAGTCACGAAAATATACGTCCAAATCAAGACGTTCTTACAGGTGATTCGTCAGTAGTTGAAAATGCTACTTACGAACATCATGATCATGAACATCACGAACATGGTCCTCACAATCTTAACAATATTGTTATATCTGAGAAGAGAGCTTTTGTCAGTGATACTACAATTTCTTCATCAAGTCCAAGTAAAGCTGTTATATGCATTGGAAATCAACCGATTGATAATGTTAATGCGAATAGTTCACTCAAAATCGTAAATAAAGGCCGTGGTCGTCCTAGAAAAGAGAAGAATGCTGCCAGAGCTCCATATACAAAGGGAGGTAGAGGCCGTGGGCGCCAAAGAAGATCTGTTGCCGCAGATGTATCTGGTCAGGATTTAGGGATCAACAAAAAGGGCGTGCCTGGGGAGATCACTTTTAGTATTTCAAATAACGAAGGCGTTCAACCTTGGGATAGTGCATCTCAAGCCATCTTAAATAACACCATATCAACTACAACGATCAATGATATTATTCCAAATCCTAGTTCTGATACTGGTGATAAACAGTTAGGCGTCCCTCCTCAAAATCTCAATATATCTGGATTTAATCAGTCTCCGAACGTAACCGGTATCGCAATTCAGACTAATGTTGCTTCTTCTAACATTGATGACAATGGTGCAAGTTCCGGAGAAGCAATTGATAATTCGCAAAATATAAATCATTCTTCTAATGATAATTCTATAACACCCGCCTTCAACACACCAAGCATTGAAACGATTGCCGACGAAGTTCGTTTAAAATCATCAAAAATGACATTAGATAACTTATTAACTTACGAGCCTAATAGCGGAGCTTTACATTCTGAATTTCTTTCTAATGGCAATCAAACTTTTACACCGACAACAAATGTTCCACAAAATAAGGGCACATCTGAAATTGATCATTCAGAGCACCCTTTAATAACTAAAATAGTATCACTGATTACTCCAGTAGAAACTGATACCGAAATCACAAAAGTAGTGGAGAATAATTCAGTTGATAATGATGAATCTAATGAATCGGAAGAACATAATGTTAGTTCAGATACGAATTTTTGGAGGACATCTGTTGCATCTCTCCTTAATAACGAAAAAATTCGAGATAATAACGATATTGGATTAACGGTTCCAAATGGAAGTACGGACCACCTATCAGTAACAAGACCTTCGGTTAATTCAAATATTCAACCTGAAAAATTAAGTATAGATACCAATATCATCGATAAACAGGCAGCTAAGAGACATCAAACGCGATCAACACGTCCTAATTCTCAAGCCAAAATCGTTGAGTCGACTAATACATCAAATATCGACACTGTTGATCAATCTATTTCTGATAACAAGAAGCGGAGACAACCTAGCGATGATCTTTGGTATGAACGACCATTAACTCGGAATCAAGCAAAAGCAGCGGCTATGAATGACACTAGATTAATTGACACAGTCAATGGAACGAAACGTAAACAAGATGATCGTCAACAAAATGATGAGTTGCCGGAACGCCCTCAAAAGAGAAAAAGACGTTTTTTAACCGAAACAGACATTGATGATTCGATTGGCATCTTTGTAGCTGTTGATTCAAAGGGCAATATTGATGTCATTAATAACAGAGAATTTTTATCTCAATCTCCTGAAGGGGATACGGAGAAACATATATATTTTCAACCTGGTCCTGTTGGATTTCTTAAACTCGATACGTCTTTGAAACATTCATTCTTTCAAGAAGATGAATTATTTGGCGAGACTGATAGCGAATTATCAAGCTGTGGATCAGTTTCATCGATTGATACGGACTAAGTTTGATAAAATTAAGTAATTAATAAAAAGTTTTGTTTATTAATTAATATGTATTCTCTTTTCTTTTTTGTGGTGATATGAGTTGTGGTAAATTCTCATTTATTATGCTCATTCACCAATATTAAGCAATATAATTAGTTTAAAGTTGTTGTCGATTATTTTATGGTTAAGAGTAAGGTTACAATTTAAGTATGAAAAAAATTATTTTACTCTTATGTATATATTTAGATCGGTTGCTGTTGCAATTTTGTTAGAATTATTTAGGGCAATAGCATGTATATAAAACATTATAAATAAACATGCACGCATTAATTCAGCTATGTTCATGTACAATATTGTTAAAAGCAATCGTTAAGTTTAATAATTTAGTTAAATAAAGTACTAAGTTATATGTTTATATTCTTTATAGATAGGAAATCTTTGACACAGAAGATTTTATAAAATTCAAAAATTACATTTGTTATCAAGAACGGAATGAATGTAATTTTATTAAACGATGTTACTTTAACTATACTTTTACAAGAACTTATGTCTAAGTTCGTGACGAAAAATAACGTGTAATCATATAAACGCGAAATAACGTTCGTGTGTTTATTTGATATCCGCGTCTTTTAAAATATCATTTAATCCTAAATAGTGCATGTGGGAGTACCGCATTTAACTTCGTACATTTTTAAGGTGAATAGACGGCGCCGGTCAAAATCCCGACAAACGGACAGTTATAAATTCAAATTTTTTTTTATATGCGCAATCATATGCACTCTATATGCTGAAACTAAAAGAAAATGCCGCCGAAATACATGATGCGACCCAAACTATTTCCAAACCATGTGACAATTAGTACATCATTAGTTTTTGCCGGGACGTCCCAAATGGTTTGGGTCGCATCACTAGTGAGCTTAGGTTAGGGTTAGGGTTAGTTAGGGTTTAGGCGATTATATGGGCTAGGTGCTGCAAAAAGGGTAAATAGTTTTTTTTGCACAAATAAATTTAAAATAAGATTTCACTTAAAAAACAAAAGCAGTTATATTAATAAAGTTTTGTAGTTTAACTCTTTAAAGTTTATTTTCCGAAGATCTTTTGTTTTGTTGATTTACCCCCTTTTTTGCAGCACCAAGCCCTTATCTGATATAGTAAAATTGCTCAAGGAAACTTTTTGATTGTCTGGGATTATGACCTGTCAGGATTTTGACCCAAACCCGAATAGACAGCTATTAGACTGCTCAATAGACAATTGGTCATACGAAAAAAACTGTCGTTGTGAATTGACATATTTGTCTAATGGCTTTTTTTTTCATTAGACTATGTAAGTGCTCAACCCTGGACTCAGTAACTCAAAAGGGAAATTTTCCATAATCAAGTCAACGTGAATATTCTTCACGATTATCTTTAATGAAAAACTCCCATGTGATAACACGAAGAATCTTGATGGTTATCACATGTAAAGCTTATTAACACATTAAAAGCCAATCACGAAAAATTTTATTACATTGACTCATAATTACCTATAGTAAGTTAGTAATAATCCTATTATAGTAAATTCTGGCAGATATATATATTATATGAGCGACGCCAAGAAAAAGGGACTTCAAATCGGGTTTACCACAAAATCCCGAAAGAAAGGACCTAATACCGACAAAGTTAGCCGGCATTAGTTATAATGTTGGTCAATTTGGTTGTTTTCGGGATTTTACGGCAGAACCTCTTGTATTCAATATGGGTGACGCTAAGAATCAATTATAGGGGGCATCAATAATTTAAACCAGTACTGTATTGTATAGACCTTGAAGATAATACTGTACCTATATATATAGTATTAACAAGGGACCTATTGGTTTTGAAGATTTAAGCGGGAAGTTGCAGTTATAGTTGCCGTCCAAATCTAACTAGCTTGGGGCTTCTAGGGTATTAACTATTATTCGGGACTAGTTAAAACCGTGGAAACTTGCTGTATGCATTGGGATTTGGGAAAAATTTTAGATATTACCAGTTTGGGCAAATAGTTAAAATTCAGATCGAAACCTACATGCACAAATACAGTGGTGTCATAGGTTTTAATTGCACGAACTAACTACTAGTTGCACACTGTGCATATAAATTTTCTTTTATATGCACTTATTTATTGTCTCTGAAAAATGATGCCAACATTATAAATTTACTATACCAAATATATCTTATATTTTTTATTTTTGTTCATTCATTTTCCTTTCGGAATATCTTTTATCCTATCAGCAACACTGGTTTTACCTATTTAGACGGCAGTATATATACTGGTATACAAAATTGAGTGAGCTATGGCGCATATAAAATAAACAACTATACAGAGGTACTTTAATTCTTGAATACTAGATTTAGGTTTTATTAAATGTCACCTGGAGTTAGCTAGATGAAATATCACTTTGTGTGATATTTATATATTTGGCTATATGTGGCATTTAAGCAAACCTAAATCTCGTGTTCAAGAATTAGTCCTTCCTCTCTATTACTGTAGTATGTATGCAAATTATAGAACACTGTAATTTAAACCAAAAGTTATATCCATCAATAACTCAGTTATAACATGGATTGTTTCCATGTTTTATGGGAATACTTATTTTTACGAGTGATACTGTATGGGTCAGTCTCAAATGTAATTAAAAATATAAACTGTATAAATAATAAAGCTAACGTTTCTCTTTCAGATTTATGGTTTGCTTTTTCTTTTGTTTTTATTATCGTGCCTTGTGAAATATCAAAGGGTTGGTTTCTTAAATTTTTTAGCAATAATATCAAAGTCATGTGATCGATTTTAGAAAAAAATTAGCATAAAAATAAATTTTTTTAGATGAACTGACATTGTATCCGGATCATGAATTGGAACTGCCTAAAATTTCTTAACCTTTAATCGTACTAATCGTTTAATTCAGCCGGTATTAAAATCGCTCTGGCTTATGATCGACATAATTCGTCCCAGCACTATGAAAATAATAATTTATCCGAGTAATCCGGATATTTTAATAATAATACCCGGATAGCGATTTTTTTTATGGGTACAATCTCTAGATTGGACATTAAGATCGGTTAGAGTCGTAAAATTGTCCGTTATTTTATTTAATTAATAAAAAGTATAATAAAAAACAATTTTAACCGGGATCACCAAAAATATACCAAGTAATTAAAGTCAAGAGTTCTAAGTAAAAATGTTCTGCACCCGAAACTTAAAATTGAAACATTATACCTAACCCTAAAACATAAGGGAGGTGATTTTACTTCCGGTTAAGTTAGTTATTTTCTAGTTTTGCTAATACTAAGTAAATTTATTACATTCAAATCAAACTTTATTAGTAAAATTTTTTTTAAAAGATTGCTTTTAATTAATAAGTAATTTATGGTATATTCAATTCATTGAATTTAGAAAAATTATTAAACAATTCTATAAAACTACTTATATAATGTGATTCAATATATATTTGTGTATCTTCATTTTTTAAATATTGTAGGTTTTTATCAGATTCAAACAATTCGTCTTCGTTATTCAGCCATTCCACAAAAATATCTGTTGCTGTTGGTCGTTTTTTTGGATCTTCATCCCAACATTTTTTTTCATTAAATTTGAATAGCATTTTCCGTATAAATCTCCCATATAATTATGCCAAATTAGAGCTCTTACCTGGGTCAGAAAATACCGATCAGGGTATTGATCCGGGTTATAACCCGGGTCAACGGATCAAACGGAAATTCATAAAGTTTTTGAAGTTAATCCTTACAACGATATTTAATTAGAGCTGTTAGTATAGAGAACAGCTGTACTCCAATTATTTAAATTAGAATTTTTTGGATTTCGTATTGAAAAAATTTTTCGATCCTGCTCGTGATTTGAATTCTGACCTGTACGGGTTAGACGACCCGAGTAAGAGCTTTACTTATTTTTGAACTCGGACCAATTTTATATATGATGTAATAATATTTTGGTCTGGATTCAAAAATAATTACCCATTTATATAGTAAACTATAATGTCTTCTACCTATATAGTAAATTATGTAGTATAGTGTTTTAGTAGGTTTTTGCCTACTCTAAATTCTGACCCGTTTGACCCGGGTTAGAGAAATTTTCAACCCGTGACCCGTACGGGTCAACCAGCCCGGGTAATAGCTCTATGCCAAATGAGTAAATGTCAGATGCTTTGGTATATAATTGTTATGTATGGAAAATTCCATAAATTTCATCAGATTTGATAGATACAATATTAGCTGTTATTGAAAGTCCTAAATCCGCAAACTATGCACTTTGAAGATCCGACGCAATACATTGTAGACATTTATCTTTCCAATCTATTTGTGCTATAGTATGTAGATTGTTGCGCAAACAACCATATTTCAATACAAAAATACAGTATAATCTTTAGAGGCTTAATCTCTTGATATACCAAAAACTTTTAAAAAAGTTGGATCTTTAAGACCGATATACAATATGCTTTTAACTTATTATTAAAAGAAATATATATTAAAAATGTCAATCTAGATAATAATATAATTAATAAAATATTTAATAAAGATAACCTCTCTAATAAACTTTTCATAATATTATTTGATTTATAAAGTAATTTAAGTGCAGCTTTTCAGTTTAAATTTTGACTTTTATCAAGCCAGCTGGTGAAATTAATCTATTTCACTAGATGAAATGGTGAAATAGTTTTACCAAAATTACACCAAAATAAAAATTTGGTGAATTGGTGAAATAGTAAAATTAGTGAAACGGTGAATTGGTGAATTGGTGGAATTGGTGAAATGATGAAATGATAAAATGGTGAAATGGTGAAATAATAAATGGTGAAATAGTGAAATTGATAAAATAGTAAAACATTCATTTATTAATAATTAATATGCACCAACTATCTATGCCGGCAGTGTTATTTGGTATAATATCAAATATAAATAATTGATATATATTAATATTAATTAAAAATACATATAATTTATATGAATGT